TTTCTTGGGAGTCATAATCTGAACTGAATAATATTCTTTGGTGACTTGCAGGCTGAACCAAGTGATCACGGGTTCCCTACTACCTCCCCTAGGTTCCCCCCTTAATAAAGGTAATTTGTGGCAGTTTCGGCCTAATTAAGGTAAAGTAAGGGGGAACCTAGGGTGGGCGGGGGGGGCAAAAGGGGAGCCCATGAAGTGAGGTTACGATCTTCTAGTACAACACTACTGCCATGAGGAGGATATAACTTTGCCTACATCGGAGACTATGATATCCCTAGTAAACATCAAACTTACGGGCTGTCTCTAGGTCGAGGCACCGCAAAACCTTAACCCCTTAACTTCAAAACCTAGACCTCAAACCCTAAGCTCCTGAACACTAGACCCTAAATCCTAAATCCAACCCAAAACCCTAAATCAAAAACCCTTTAGCTTCGAACCCATGAGCCCTTAACCCTTGAGTGTGCTAAGACTTGTAGCTACGTATTCCTTACCGAGGCTTTCAAGTACTAGCGTTATGCAAATAAGAGTATCCGTGTCTTGGGTTAAGGCTTAAAGTCAGAGTGAATAGAAGAGACTAAAGGATGTCGCCTGATAAGGTTTTGCGCTGCTATAGTCCCAGTTCCCATGTCATGTTCCATTGTCTTTTCTGTTTGGTTCTCCTGTAATATCCCTCAGCCTCAACCCTATACAATCCCGAGACCATCCTAGTCAACTCTTCTTTGACGTCATAACTAAATCTCATGTACACGCCCTTGTGGCCTACTGTTCTAAACTAGATAGAATCACTATACAACGCCTGTGCCCCGGTCACGATATCCCCATTGGAAAACCAACTTTTTCCTAGGAAAACCGAAAAACGAACTTTTTCAGCAGCCACCATAGTTTCCCAAAAAGTTGGTTTTGTTGTTTTTTTGGTTTTCTTTAGTTTTTGGTCAGTCCAACAGAGAAGTGGCCTCAGAAGAGGATCACTGTACTTGAAGGATTCCAACACTTCGGTATTAAATCTAATTTGTTTTAAATGAAGGCTTTATATCAACAAGCATCCAGGATCACAGGATTTTCGTATTAATTCTAATTAAATTCTATAAGGGATTCAAATGAACCAGAATCCATTCCAAAACCAGGAATCTAAGATTCCACGATTTTCGTTTTAGATCTAATTGAATTTAATAAGGGATGTATATGAACCAGAACCACATCCAAAATCAATAGTCCAGGACTCCCGGATTCCAATATTCAGACATTCAATTCAGGATTTCTGTTTTAAATTTAGTTGAATTTATATAAATTATGTAAACCAGAAACCATTCCACAACCAGGATTCTAGGATTCCACGACTTTCGTATTAAATAGAAATTGAATTTCATAAGTGATTTTCTGAACCAGGACCACATCCAAAACCAGCGATCCACAGGATTCCCACATGAACATATTCAATCCAAAATTCCCCTATCAAATCTAATAACCTTTAATTGGAATTTGTCTGGCTTTTCAATCAGATGGAGAACCATATATCCAGGATTCCAGGATCCTATGACTCAACGAAGGGACCGCATATATGTACATGAACGAGACTGAGGTTAAAAAAGACCTCTTCGGTGGATCATGGGGGGGGGGTGTGAGCTATTATATATATATATAAAGAAAAATAGTAAATCGTAGGGTTTTCCCAATGCAGTACCTTGAATTACAGGGTAGATTTGGATTTCGGGGATTGTGGGTTTAGTGTTTAGGGCCTAGGGTCACAGACTACTGGGAAACTTCCACACAGTGTGTCACTAAGATATGAAAGCGGTACTCCAAAATTTCAACTTGGATAGGTTTCTCAAAACGAGAGTGCGCTTGTTTACCTATCGAATGTCATAGTCCTCAACTCGGGTTTCCTCAAAGGGACTCCTGATGCTGCAAAACGCGATGATGGATAACCTTTCGGAGACACCGCGCTGGGGAGGTGTGCAAGAATTGAAAAGAGAGCTCAATTTGGGTATGTACCCTTGTCTTGATATCAGGTCTTTCGCAAGCGGAGCATCTTGCAAGAAGTGATAGTTGATTACGCAACCGTTAATGTTGCGGGTATAGAGAATCATATCGTATCATGACTAGATATCTTTCTTGGAGCAGCTAGGGATATGTTATGTAGCTTTTGGTGTCAAAAGACACATTCCTGGCAAGAATGATGTGGAGCCATCACAGTTGTCCCCGTTTTGACGAGCGTAAAGCCCGTAGCTTGCTCCGCTGAATGCTTGATCCTTAGCCACTACCCCCTAAGTCAGGAATCCCACAATTTTTTCATAGCCAAGCCCTACCCCTTAAATCCGTACTCACTACATCTTTAAACCTTAACCCTCCAATCCCTCACCCCTAATCCGTGCAAAGATACCAGGGGACCTGGCCATTCCGAGAGACTTCATTTGCCCAGCCAGGCAACACAGGCTCGCCTGCATAACTCTACACAAGTGTGTAGTGTAGAAGCGTAAACGTCCTAAAGCCCTTATCAACCTTATGTAGTTGCAGTGTAATTTAATCCCAGATTCTGTTTTTATCATTTCGGAATATGGATAACGGGACTTTCAACCGTCATGGGTCCCACTGTTGAGTCACCAGAATAAAGCTGAATGAAGATTGTAACTGGTGGGGGTATGTGAGGGACCCCGCTTCTGTAGAAATGCCCAGGCCCCCTCTAGAATTCTTCGGGAAGTTCACGGTGAATCCCTCCCCCGAGTGACATAATGCCCCGACGCTCTAGTAGGACTACCAGTATAGTGCCATCATATACTGTCAGTATTACGCTTGCCAAGGGACCAATAGGGATTGGACATAGGGGGCCCGTTGGTAGCTAAGTATGGTCCCTAAAAAGTTCCCTAACGAGGACCCCTGTCCATTTTTCATGCGGGAAATATCTAAACTCTACGCCCTAAACCCTAAACACTCCCTAAACCCTCCCTAAACCCTAAACCCCAAACCCTAGACTCTACACCCTAAACCCTAAACCACCTTGGACCATTGGAGGTTGGGGCCACAGTCTCCTCCTTCATCCTGCTCCAGTGCAGGCCCGGCCTTTCATGTTCTAATCTACTCAAGTCCCCTAGGGTTTGGGGTTTGGGGTTTGGGGTTTAGGGTTTGGGGTTGAGGGTTTAGGGTTTGGGGCTTAAGGTTTAGGGTTTGAGGCTTAGGGTTTGGGGTTCGGGGTTTAGGGTTTAGGGCTTGGGGTGTAGGGTATATCGAAAAGCTTCACGCCCTCAGTAGTACGTCTCCCCTTTACGGCATTCAAATTTTCCGGGGCTGGGGGTTGAAGTTCAGAATTCTTGAGCGACACTCTGGGTAGAGGAGCTAAGAGAAGCTCTTGGCTGGATTCTGTTGTAGATGTCTCCTACTGAGTGGTATTTTAGAATGAATGCCGCTGGCTCTTTTTCATTTCTCCCGATCCGACCTGATGTTGGGGCTTAGGATTCAGAAAGTAGGACTTCGAGTTCAAACGTTTGTTGTTAGCAGAGGAGAGGGTTTTTGTTACTAGGAGACGGGATCAGGTACTACCAGACAATACCATAATATCATTACCACGCATGGTACCTGGCTATTTTTTTTTTGGTGTTGATCGTTTTCGTTTTGAGCATGGTTTGATTTTCTTGCCAGGTTCCTTGGGGTATATGATGCTATAGAATTTGTCTTTGTACTGTTTTTCGTTTCATCTTCAATTAATATTCTATAGCACCCTACATATCCCTAGACTCCCTACATACTCTCTGTATAGCTTCAGAGCTAATAGTTTCCGTTTCCTTCTTTTCCATTTGATTTTCCATTCCGAGTCTTCATTGTCTGCATGCCCTTGGCAGCAACACAGTTTAAGATAATGGAGAATCAAATGCAAAAGTACATGGAAAATGAGGCGGAAACTCCTTGTCCTAGGTTTTTTGGAATATGTAGTGTTCAGAAGGAATCTGATGGAAAAGAACATGGACAATGACCTGGAACTTCTGGTTATATAGTGGTCGATAAGGATTATCTAGCACTGAAGCCGTTTTAGCTTTGAACTAAACCCTAAGCACAGGAGGGGCTTGGGAGTGAGCCGTGGCCTCAGAGGGTGGCACCGACACAAAAGCTGTGGCGTGGCTTCTGTGATTTCAGGTTCTGGATTTGCTTTTGAAATTTGGATGGAGCTTGTTCGCACAGCATGGCTTGACCACGAGGAGGACGAGGAGAGGAGCGGTATATAGTGTGAGTGGTATGAGAGGAAAAGGACGTAGTCAAAATAGTGACACTAGTAGTAAACTGTAGTAAGCGCAGTAGGAGCAGCAGCAGTTGGAACAGGAGTAGGAATGTGATCGTGTTCGTGTGGTCGTGGCCGTCGTCGTAGTTGTGCCTGTAGATGTAGGAGGAGTCGTAGTAGTGGTGGTAGTAGTAGCAATGGGAGTTGGAGTGGAGGTGGCAGGAGCAGCACGGCTGCTGCTGCTGCTGCTGCTGCTGCTGCTGCTGCAGATGTGGCTAGTACGCACGACTACCACGACTACTAGTACACTTGTAGAAATGTCTCCGGGAGTACTAGTGGTATAAGGCATTTTTCAAAGGATAAGACAAGCATTCAGAATAGAAAAGGCGCATAGCAGCGTACGAAGTAGTGGTAGCATCTTGAACCGAGAATATACTATATACCCCTATAATACCCCTCTCTAACCCACTATAGTAGTTTTCATTTTTCCATTATCCCTATATAACCCCTATATAACGCATTATAGTAGTTTCCATTTTCCTCTACATTCTCCCTATTTAATCCCTATGTATTCGGTCCCGTCTCTTACTGCAGACTGGTCGTTCCAGGCTTGGCGCCCACCAGATGGGAAGCGGAAACTGCTGGGTAGGGCACTTGGGTTTGCGCTTAAGGGGGCAATATAGGGGTTATATAGGGATGTTGGAAAAAATAGAAACTACTGTAATGGGTTGTATAGACGTATGTAGTATATTGTAGGTACTGCTGCGCCACACTGCACTGCTTTCCGACCAAGGTTACGGTATTTGGCTTTCCCAGCAGACTTGTGAGGGGCTTACTGCATATGCACTTTGCCAGAGGCTGCAGGGCAAGGTGCTACAGAGAGCTTAAGGCTCCAGCTGTGCGACAGCAGCTGGAAGCTCTTTGCGGGCCCATCGTGGAGGCACCTGCTGACAGACTTAAACCTTGAACAGCGGTTGTGGGCAAAAAGCTTGAGGTCTGCTATGGAGATGGAAACTTCGTCCACGTATGCTTCGCAAGCTCGCAGGTGGCTTCCTGTCCTGTTGGCAGGGTATTTTCAAGCTTTTGTCTGCCAAATGCTTTCCAGGCGGCGAGCGCCTGCTTGGGATTAAACGGACAACTCCTGCTGGCCAAGGTGATGGCTCGTCCCTCAGCGGACACACAGCGTAACAAACATGGAGCAGCCCTTTGCACTCTGAGGTTGGCTGTGTCCCATGCACTCATGCAGCCGGAGACTTGTTGAAGAGCTCGTTGTTGTGTCATTGGCACTGCTTAGACTTCATGATGAGGCCCTCCTTTCGGGTGAGAGCGCCGAGCATGAGGCCGTTGCCGGTGGTGCTAGATTATTGTTACTATGATTATCAATTCGTATGATTCGTACTAGTACAAATGTCATTGTTTTCAGCATGAGTCACAGTCTGATTGTTATTACTGTTTTGAACATTATTCTTGCTAAGATCATTACTCAAAGATATTACAAGGCTCAGTATTATCCCCATTATTGGAAGCAGAGCAGGTCACGACCTTGTCAATACCATTACTGTACCTGACGGATTTCCATAACGACTTTTGGTCGCGGAGCAGGTCTAGTGCCAAAGACGAGGACCCCCACCCTCTAACAGTGGTATAATAAGAATATGAGAGGACCCTACGACAATCCCAATTATCCCTTAAAGCATCCGAAACCCTAAAACCTGAACCCTAAATCCTAAACCCCAAACCCTGAACCCTAAACCCTGAACCCTAAACTCTAAGCCTTAAACCCTGAACCCTAAACCTTAACCACTGTTACGGGGTGGGGGGGGTCCGCCTGACGTAGATCCTTCTCACAAGGCGCCGCCCCGATCGGCTCAGATGAACGGTGGAGGCTCCTGCCAGGGAATGGGCTTTTACTTTAGGTTTAGGGTTCAGGGTTTAAGGCTTAGAGTTTAGGGTTCAGGGTTTAGGGTTCAGGGTTTAGCACATTTCTCAAGACGGGGTGAAGGTCATAACGGAACATCGGTACCATGCAGCAGCATGGGCAACAGTACACAAGAGTAGTGCCACTGGATATAGGACCTTGATTTTGTGGCAAATCCACACGTTGACGCTAGTCGTCATTTTAGTGCTTGTTAAAATACTCGCAATCGAATAGTTATGATGGTATTCTCTGTGTTCATTTCCTAAGTCAAGTTGTTCCTTGTAAAATCGCTACGTGGGGGACACCTAGGATTCCTAATCCTTCCTGGATTTCGATAAGGGCCGTGTTTTCAGAAACTCGACTCCCCACAACCTTGAAAAGGCTATCGTTTTCCTGCCTTTCTGCACCCAAAGGTGCATCCCCACATGGGACACATGATCTCTAGAAAACCCTATAGAATAGACCCTTCATATATCCTTCATAGACCCTCCACCGACCCTTTTCACCCCTTTTTCCCTTTTCTGGGTTACTGTTCGCAAACTTAATCTAAATGACTACAATAAGGAAACCCTAGTACTTACTATATATGTCCACACTATGGTAATTTCATTCATGTTCCCAAAGCCCTAAACCCTAAACCCTAAAGCCCTAAACCCTAAACCTTTTTGAAGATTTGTCAGGCCTGAGCTCTCCTCTGGGTCCTGGTCGACCCGAAGCCCCGGGCTGAGGGTTTTGGGGTTTAGGGAAAGGAGTTATGTATGGGTGTGGGTTTAGGGTCCCCCTTAAGTAGATAGAATATGGAGTATATGGGGATCTTATAATAATCTACCCAAAGTCATATTCTATCTACTTTAAGGGGGATTGGGCATACGGGGGTATATAGAGATATATAGAGTCTTTTCTAAGGGGTTTAGAGGGCTTGTCATCCCAATGGTGGAAAATGAATTGGAAGAGAACATGCAAAGAATGGCAGCTTGGATGGCTGAGGGTTCAGAGTTTACAGGGCTTGGTGTATGTGGTTTACAACTGTAAGGTGTTTAGGGATTTGGTGTGAAGAGCTCAGGAGTTTATAGGGCTTTGGGTTGTGTGTTTGTGGGCTTGGGGTTTGGGATTTTGAGCTTGTAGGTCCCAGGGCTTAAGGGTTTACAGTTCATAGCGCTCATGGTGCTTAGGGTTTGGGGTTTGGATTCTGTAGGGCTGGGGGTTTATGAATTTAAGGGGCTTGGGGCTGAGGGATTGAGCAATTTAGAGTCAATAGGGGGAACCCGTTTTCTTTTTGCTGTTTGGTCTTTTTTATTGTTAGTCCCCTCAACACCCACCCAGGCAGGCCGGTAAGTGAGTGAACTCCCGTCCCCGCCCAAACAGCAAAAATAAAACCCGCCCTCCCGCGCAAACAGCAAAAAGTAAAACACGCCCCCCCCGCCCAAACAGCAAAAAAAACATGTCCTCGTACGTGGAGCGCTCTAATTTTTTGCTGAAAATCATGCTTCGGAGGAAAGTGATGAGGAAGGGGGGGGGATGTTTTTTTTTTTGCTGTTTGGGCAGAGCCGTGTTTTAGTTTTCTGTTTGGGCAGGGGCGTGAACCACAAAAAATAAAGCACGCCCCCGCCCAAACAGCAAAAAATACAACACCCGCAAAGCCCAAACAACAAAAAAGACCAGACAACAAAAAAACAGCACTCTTACCGTCAACAGTCAACAGGGCTTAGGGCTCAGGGACGTCGAGTTCGCAGTCAGGGTCTAGGGTTGAGGGTTGAGGGCTTACGCTTTGGGTGTTGGTATAGGCTCCTGTAATGAGGGTTCCTACGTGTCTAGATATCCCGCCATTCCGGGAGCAGTAGCGCCTGAAAATCAAAAAGAAGGTTCCTAAATATGTTTTCCTTTCTTTGGAACAGTAACTTGCTCAACCTGAAACCCAAACCCCATCACCCCAAAACCCCAACCCCTAAGTCCTGAAACCCTAAACCCCAAAACCGTAACCCCCACGTCCTGAAGCCCAAAGCCCAAAACCTTGATTTTAAATTGTAGTTTCCAATTTCTTTTCCATTATCCCTATATTTTGCCTATATATACCCGAATCGTATAACCCCCATGGCCTGAAACCTTAAGGCCTAAACGCTTTGACGCTTCCAGGCATGGAGCAATCCCTGGATCTACTCCCCTAGACCTCGGCCCTGTAGCGCCATCTATGGATGTTGTGGAGTATATATAAGGATCTTATGGGGTTTTATAGGGGTTATATTGGGTTTTATAGGGATTATATAGGGATCTTATAGGGGTTATATAGGGCCATATAAGATTCGAACGATATTTGGGAAGTCAAGGGTCTCTGTGCCCACCGCCGAGGTTCGGCGCAGCGGCCTGATGTGGCGCTTACTGGACCAGCTATTTGATATCTGAGCATCTCCGGGCAGCGAAAAAGCCAGACAGGTTGTTTCCCAAAGCAGGGGGACACACATAGACCCGAACATATTATGAACCTTATTTTAAGGATCCCACCTGGGTATCCTTGATTTTGGGAAACACTGCTTCTTTACAGCTGCATGCAAGGTCCCTGGTTTTCATGTTTCGTCTGTTGCTTGCATGCAGTCGCCCGAGTCAAGCCTTCAGCATTCTTTTATCCTTTCGTTTGTTGGTCCTTAGACGACGTGAATAATTCAGTTGTGGATGTTGGGTAGGTGGCCTACGAGAGCAGGCAGCACTCACAAGAGGAAAATTACCGCAGCATTGAAGGCTAGCTTGCTAGCCAAGCTTTCGACCTTGCATCGGCCAGGTTAATGTCTCCACGGCGTTGCACTGCTTGGGGAGGCTGCGGCGCTGCCGTTTGTTTCCGCATGGTTGTAGAACTGAATTTTTGGTTCTCAAAGTTACTGGATGCTGTTTTCAAGTAGTCTGTGCTATTGGGGTTCCCAAAGCACAGGGCAGCATCATTTCAACAAAGACCTCTACGACTCCCATCATCTCCGAATACAAAAGAGCCATCATCTTTCACATCGTTCGTTGTACATTTCCAGCAAAATAATTTCCCAAACCCTGAGCCCTAAACTGTACATCCTAAACCCGCCAAACCCCTAAACCTCCCCTATTCCCTATGAACCCAAACCCAACAAACCTTAAACCATGTATGTATCCAGCCAGGAGCAAGCAATCTTCGTCTTCTATATGGTTGCGTGGCCAGGTGCTTAGCACAAAGCCCTGAAGCCTTAGGCCTTTCAACCTTCAACCCAAGCTCCATAAAATCTGCACTAAATCAACTCTAAACCTCAACACCCCTTAGCCCAAACTTCAGAATCTAGACCATGGGGCGCTTCCAAGTAGGCTCTCTGCTGAAGATTGTGACAGTGCTTCTTGAATGCTCCCATGTCCTATAGAGGGCATCACATCAAGCCTTCACAGTCCTCACATTCACGTATCCTCAAAGTGACTAACAGTATCCCCAGTTTAGGTTGCTTCTTTTATGGCGGAGCGGGACACGGAAATTAGTGCAAGCACCTGCTTCTCTCCCAGGCTACGGTGGGCAGTAGATGATGGCAAGGCGGGATGTGCAGATTTTCTTCGTGCCAAGAGGTTCGTGTTTCCATGTCTTTGACAGTATTCTGAGGCCTAAAGTATGCATACTGGGCCTTGTGAATTCAGTTTTGATAATGTTTTTGAAAGTTTCCAGCGTCGCGGACCTATCTGGCGAGGCCAAGCTGAATTTCGGGGCTCAGGAAACTCTACGACTTCGTGACGAGCCGAAGCCAGAAGCGACATTGGTTTGCTGTACTAGCAAAAGAAGCCTCACAAAGCAATAGCAGTTCTGCACTTCGCGGTGCGCACGGGACTCCACGATTACGACCCCAGATGGCGAGGATGCTCCATGCGCTAACGACCCCGGAAGCCCGAAGCCCGTCTCCAGAGGACGTTCGGCACGGCAGTGTGGATGCAAGCGAAATTCTCAGAATGCTCGACACAAAACCCACAGAACTGTGCGTGCCGATTGAGTTTAGAGGTACAGTAATTTTCTGGTACGCTTGCGTTCAAACACCAGAATGTGGAGGAGCAACCATGGCAATCTTATATCCTCATTTCTGAGCAGGAGCAGCAAGAATGAGAAACATTGAAAACCCTCAAGCCTAAACAGAGTGAACCACCAGCACAAGCAGTTGCAGCAGCACCACTGCCGCTGCCGCCACCACCGCCAGCGGTAGCGGCGGCCGCAGCACCATCCCACCTTTGCCGCCGCCCGCAGCAGCAGCCGCACCGTCACTAGCACCGCCACCGCTGCCCGCACCACCGCCGCCGCCGCCACCGCTGCCACCGCCGCCGCCGCCGCCGCCACTGCCACCGCCGCCGCCACCACATTCATTAGTGATTGTCATGAGTGCCCTGAGCCTGAAGCTTGAAATCCTAAGTTTTCAGCCTTAAACCCCAAGCCCTAAA